AAAGTGAGGGATATGCACAAGAACACCCACACTTGTGGATAATATCCACTTGACCTAGCTTCAATGACTGGATGATCAAAGCGCAACTAGAAGAAGAATGAAGAGGAAAAAAAAGAGTAATCTGATATAAGGGAACGGCTCTTTACAGCAAGGTTCTTTCCCACTCCCTCCATACACAGAGTAGACAGGGATGGGCAACTTGAACATTGGCTATCAAAAATGAGGTGATACAAAGGCAAGAAGTGACTGGCTTACAAGCTTTCAAGAGGGAACCTAGATCCAGAGGGTGTGGAGGAAGGTAGAATCTCCACTGAGTAATATCCAATCTGTCTTAGGCAGGACTGCTGAAAGGAAATGCGAATCGGTCTCTTGTGATACAATGATGAATAATTATTATCAGAACTGATTATGAGGGTTAGAAATGTAAAGGTAGACCTTTTGTAGCAAGTAGGGGACTAATTTTGCATTTTAGGAGCAGAGGTTCCTGGGACCATGAAGGCAGAAGAGTGGAGTAGGACCCTATGCAGAGAAGCAGTGATCCCTCAGATGGAGACAGAGACGATTACATGGAGAGATGGAGAAGCTAGGGACCCTAGACCCAAAGAGGTAGTTGGTCAAGGTGCTGCTCAGCACTTCGGCTCTGTGTCTTGGACTTGGGCATCCCAAGTTGTGTGAAGAGACACCAGCCACCTTCCTTGGTTGAGGATGGATATCCCATTAGAGAAGAGCCAGTGTTTTGGCTGCCCACAGCAGGACAATAAGGCCACCCTTTAAGCTTCTAGGTTGACCTGGGAAAACCAAAGACAAAAACAAGAGATGCATCCTCTTTAGCCTGCAGATCCCTCACAGTTTGGGCCTTGGAGCTGCATTTGCCCAGTCTGGTTGGAATCTGAAAACCAAGAGCCTGGGCAAAAGAATCTCAGCCATGAACAGCTCACCTGTGGTAGGGCTCTAGGCACACATGGAGCTCTGCACCAAAGGCTGGCTGGGAGACAGACAGATGTGGGGCTGCTGTGTCTCAGGACCATAAATGTCATGAGCCTTGAGAAATCAACGATTCCTATTTATAATCCCGAGCCACCAAAACCCACTGAGAGTTGATGCTGACTCACAGCTACTACAGGAAAGAGTAAAACCTCTTCCATTGGGTCCCTCCTGAGAGGAACTGGGCACAGTGTGGCAGGTGAACATGAGATGTTTAGACTGGGAAGCTCACGTGACCACATTTATCAGGAACCTCAGCTTTCTCATATTCTTTTGCAGGTTCCTACATCTGCCCTATATAGCTACCCCCAGCCCTCCCAGTTGCAACAGGTGGGAGTCACATTTGGTCTTCAGCATTGACCCTCCCCAGCCCACGGTCGTGGTTGCATGACCTTGCAGCTCCGTCTACCAAGAACACTCGAGAGTGCGTATAACCTCAGGAAGGATCTGGTCGATGGACATTAGCAGACGTCACAGGAAAGGGCTGCAGAAAGCATTCCCTAGTCTCCACTGCCATCCCTCTGCCACCGGCATTATAAATGCCCAAGTGCCTGATGAAGGCTGAGAGGTGGGAAGCCCAGCCCAGGTGCCCACACATCCCAGATGCACGCATCCTGGATCAGCCAACGATGACCATTGACTCCCAGATCTGATGAGAGAAGGGGTGAGCCACACTAACCCTAGCAAGCACCACGCCTCCTCCTAAGTCCTGGCAACTCGAGTATGTTAACTGTGGTGAGTGGGATAGTTTTTCAAAAAAGAAGAGTGATGGAAATTGAAGATCCATGGAAACCATTTATCTAACAAACGATGGACCAATGAACATCAGCCTGCATGACACTGAGACTAGAAGAACTCTATGGTGTCTAGCTACCACACTGCCAACTGCTCTGAAAAAGATCACATTAGAAAGTCCAGAATAGAGTGAGAGAAAAATGTGAAACAAAACTGAAAATCATAATAAAATCCAGACTTACTGGTTGGATAGAGACTGGTAGAACCCCCAAGACTATGACCCTTAGTCACTCTTCAGATCTGGAACTGAACCCACTCTCATGCCTCAATTTTCAAGCAAACCTCTGAAGGGAGGTATGAAGCCTTGAGATGAAATAGGCAGCATGTATCCTAGGACAAAGCTCAGAAGGGTTAGAAGAAATGGAAACAGGAATCCCAGACAGGAAGTGAGGTAAGTGGTGCTACATTGTGGGGATTGCAATCAATGACATAAAACAGCATATATATAAAACTGACAATCTGCTCTGTACACTTTCACCCAATTCAAATTAATTTTTTTTTTTTTAAAAAGTGAGGACAGAGAGCCTTCACCTTGCATACTTTGGACATGTTGTTAAGAAGGACCTGTCCCTGGAGAACACCACCATGCTTGGTAAAATGTAGGGTCATGAAAAAAGAGGAAGACCCCCAATGATGTGGTCTGACACAGTGGTACCAGCAATGGGTTCAAACAACAATTGTGAGGTGACGCAGGGCTGGGCAGTATTTTGTTATGTTGTGCATAGGGTTAATATGAGTCAGAACAAACAACCATTTACCTCTGGAGAGCATCTTTGTTCTCTCCTCTTGTGTTGCTGTTAAGTGACACTAAGTGACACTGACTTCGTTCCAACTCATACAGACCCAATATAACAGAATGATACAAGACCCAGTCTTGAACCATCATCACAACCATTGCTCTGGTTGAGCGCTTTGTCACAGCCATTGTGTCAACCCACTTTGTTGAGAGTCCTACTTTGCTGCTGACACTCTACCAAACATATCTTCTCCAAATAATGTTGCTGTTGTTGTTAAGTGCCTTTGATTGATAGCGACCCTGTATAGGGTTTCTTAAGAGCAGCTGGGAGGCTTGAATTACTGCCTTTGCAGTTCAAACCAACGTTGCGTCTAGTACATTACCCTGACATTGGGCAAAAGGCAGGAGCCAAGTTGGCTTAGTCTTGGAGTCTCACTAGGGTCCTGGATCTACTACTGAAAAACGAACGGATCACTGTAAAATCACTTCCTGTATCGTATTGGAAAATGAGTTCGCTAGATTGACAGGCACTCAAAATACACAGTGGCCACAACAGTAAGCTTGAGCATACCAACAAGCATGAAAATGGCACAGGACCAGCCAATGTTTCATTCTGTTGTATGTGAGGTCCTGTGATTTTGAGGTGCCTCCATGGTAGCTAACAATAACAACATTGCCAGATAATCAAGCGACAGGGTTCCTTCTTCAGAGCAGAGTAAGGTGCGTGGGTTAGGGACTCAGGTGAGGGTTGTTTGTGTTTGTGGCTCAGGCACTACTTCATTGGTAGCTCATGCACGCCGTTCTGAATGTCCGAATTTTTGGTGTCTACCCCTAACACTCAGAACATTCTTTCAATCCTTACCACCCTGGAGTCCCTGGATCACATCACCAATTTTAAGTACTGGGATGCTCCTTTCCACTTAACTTTTGCTTTAGAATTCTCTTAACTCCTTCTTTACCTTTGGTGCTATATATTATAAAATCCTCTAACTAGTTTCCAAGGAAGTTTCCTCATCATTTTAAGGTTTAACCGTCACAAGGAAAAGAATTCTTCTACTCATCATTCAAGCTTAAAACCATTATCCAACAAACGAGCACAGAAGTCAGTGAATGGTCTGGGAGACATCTTGTGACAGTGAGCTGATTTGAAAGCAAGATAACATCTAAAACCAGTGACAAAGTGTCCCGGAGAATGCTGTTAGAACGTGCAATCACCCCAAGCTATGTTCTGTGCAATATGGTAAGGAACAGAAATTAGTTAACATAATGGCTGGATCATGCAATTATTAGGAAAGAAGCTGCCAAGGAGAATAAAAAAGTATGATTACCTGTGTAGGTCATAGCTTCCTCCTTCTTTATTTCCTGATAGAGGAAAATACAAGAGTAACTTATGTTAGCTTTAGAACACATAAAACACATAAAACCATTCACAATGTTGCTTTCCATGCACAAGGTCTAAATTCTAGAGAGAAGTACACACATTGTGTAAAGTACAGATAGTGCCCAACTCCAATGGAGCTCTTGTATTAGGTTCGAAATGAAGATCAAAAGCTATAAATGAAGATAAAAAAACATAAGAATCTACATGAAAAAAAATGGGTAGACATAAGAAAAGGAGGGGAGCTCATTTAAAAGCACTAAGAAAAGTACCTCCAAAAGTCTGTGGGATTCTGAGTAAAAGTTGAATTTTGGTTAATTTTTGACAAACACTGAAAACATGAGGCTGATAATTATAGCCTCTAGGAATAGTGTAGATGGTGAAGTAAACTATTTGAAGTGTCACGGGTGTGTCTTTTTCCCATTAAGGGACTCGATCAGATTTCACTAAGTAGAGTGGTTTTGTCATCACTGATAAGTGTGCCGTGTTCTTCTGAGGAAAAATGTCTCGGTATAATATTTCTAGTGCCTCTAATACTTGGTTTACATTCCAGACGATAGTGAATTTTTTTTCTGTAAGTTTGGAGGAAAGATCATCAGATAACAGTATATTTTAAAAGATTTGGCTGACAACGCTCAATGACCTTAAGACTGATTTTGCAATCTCAGTTCTCTCTTGGCTGGCAACCAATTCTACTAAGATGTTAACAGAGCTGTTGGCCGAGATGTGAGTGCTTCTCACAGGACATATACATTCTATGATGGAACTTCCATGGACCAAAAGCATTTATGACCCGACAATGGTAGAAATGATGGCTGGCGACGTTGACCATTTTGGGGGGCAAGATCCCTGACTCTACAGGTCACATGTCCCAGAGAGCTGCCTAATTTTATTGCTGGAGATACTGGCTCCAGGCAAGATCCACAGAGATACGATCAATTACACAACAGAAGGCTCTTGTGGATATTTCCCTTTGGGGGCTGGCACACCAGTAAAGGTACCAGCTTCAGGTTTTTCTCCTTCCTGCCATTGTTTTCATTTCTAAAATAATTCTGAGGAGGAAATGGATATTTGTGTTACCAAGGAAAGACATGGGGTCAGTACTCAAACAGTACTGCATCCTCATGAACCAAGGGAGAAATAAGTTGGCGAGTTTAACACTGACGAGCAAGGAGGGAGTATCTTACTCTCCGAGATCCCAAGTTAACAAACTACCCAAATATCTCTAGTTTCTAATGCTATCCACATTGATACAGTGACACATTCTTAGAGACATAGGAAATATTAGCCAATGAAATCCAACTTACTGTGTCATGGGCAGGGACCCAATTGGGGGAGCTCCAATAACTAATACGTAGAAACAATGCATTTTTCTGTCTAAGGTCCCTTAAAAAAGAGGATAGTCTGGTCTGGCTAGCCTAGATTTGACTGTGGACATCAATAACAAACAAATTCCAGAGTTTTCCTGCTGTCTTCACTAGTTGCCTATCAGGAATCAAGATGTGCTAATAGACTAGACCTGTGAGAGAGACTGGAATGAAATGCTCATCAAATATTTTAGCATATTTTTCATGAATGTATCTAGAGCTAAATTTAGAAATTCAAAAGATGTTTGGAATTTACAAGAGGGTTCCCATAACTATCAAAAACTTTCAAAGGCAGATAGCTAGATATCATAATTAATTTTCCAGGTAATGTAAATAGTAATAATATTACACTTTTTGCTTACCAACTTCCAGGCTCTTAGGTTTTGGGTTGCACTGCTTATAACCTTGACAGCTTCTGAGCTCCATCAACTGTATGTGTAGCTGATTTAAAATGCCCCGTTCTACTGTGTGGACTGTATTTGTGAGCTGCAGAGGAGAAAGTCAGGAGAGAATATTTAAGCTCACTTCCAGGTGACCCTATTTTTAACAACCTTCATAAAATGAAAACATACTGTCTTACCTGATAAGGGTCTGTATTCATATCAAAATACTCCAAAAAGCCAGTAGCAAACTCGCAGAAAAGAAAATTATGCGTCTCATTAACAGTACGCAAACACCAGTAGGTGTTGTTGTTAGAACTCGTGCAAGCACAGAAAGATCCCACTATTGGGGAAAAAAGAAAAACAAAACAAAAAAGAATGAAAAAATGTAGACAGTCTCCATTTCATTGGTTATTGTCTTTCTTCAACCTGTATCTTTTTTGTAAACATTGTGATTACATGTTAAAGATCATTGTAATTTTGACCCCTCCTGATAGAGATTTTCTAGGAAACTAGGTGAAAATGAAGAGGAAAAAAAAAGATGCTGTTTCATGATTGGGATCACAGGCTGAAGGTGAAGATGAAGCTCAGGAGTGGTTTCCAAAGAAGGGTAGTGATCGGAGCATGGGAAGAAAAATATCAGGACAGAAAATGCTGACCCATGCCCATTTCAACCGTTCTTTCTCTTGAGTCTTTTTATTGCAGCTGAAATTTCACTTCTTCATTATAAACACGGACACTGAAAGCAACAAGCATCACACATAAAGCTTCAAAAATTCTCACAGATAGTTCTTAGATTCACCCCCAAGAGTGATCTGTGGATTCTTTAGCATCTCAAATTTCCAACTCCATGAATAAGGACATGGGTGGCCTCCCAAGTGCCTTTCCAGTCTAACATTCTGTGTTTTACCTGTTATCCCACCTGTGACACAAATGGCACGGGTACAAGCTTTAAGTCTACCCAGAGGCACCCTGGAAGAAAGGCATGGCAATCTACTTCAGAAAAATCAGCCATTGTAAACCTATGGAGCACACACAGTTCTACTCTGACACACATGGGGCTGCCATGAGTAGGAATGGATTTGAGGACCTTTGGTAGCTGGTGTTTCGTCTAGTTCATGGAATGATAATCCTTCAGTCAGGTGATGTACCATAGAATTTGAACTAGGGTTTCTATATGATCTGAAGAAATACTTTATACAGACAATTAAACCATGTTGTTAAGTGCTATTGAGTCGATTCTGACCCATAGTGACCCTGTATAGGGTTTCCAAGGAGCAGCTGGTGAGCTTGAACCTCCAACCTTGCAGTTCAAATGGCTTTGTAGTCTGCCGTATTAACCCACAGTGCCACACCAGGATTCCTAATTAAACCACATATGAGCATAAATTTCACAAGTGGACAATTACTATCTTTCCATAATCTCAGAATCCAATGGGTAAAACAGTAAATATTTTATTGAGCCATTATTATCTGTAAGCATGGCCCTAGGTACTAAAGTAGAAGTACCACTTTTTTTTAATCTCTTTTGATTATATCTAGAGCTGTTGTTTTTGTTAAGTGTCATTGAGTTGGTTCCGACTCAAAGTAACTCTGTAAAGGGTTTCTGAGAAACAGCTGTAGGGTTTGAACTGCCGACCTTGTGGTCGCAGTCCAGTACTGATCCTACAGTATCACACCAGGAGTCTATACTTAGGAGCAAGTACCTGAAATAAAGCAAAACCAAAATATATTGGAGACAAAAGTCCTCTTTCATTCATTTAGTTATAGAGCACCCTTTTCAAGTATTAACTCTGCCAGGTGCTAGGTACTATGCAAAATAAAGCCATAAGGAGAAAAATCCATGAAGAAATTTGACATTTCAAAAAGAATACAAACAAAAACAATCCTAAGGAACAAAAAGTAATTTTTGACAAAGTAACATGACTTGCCAACATAGAAAGTAATACGATAGTTTCTTCTTGAATCTGTTTAGATTCCTGGTTTTGTGTGGCGCTGTGGGTTAATGCGCTGGATTGCAAAGGCAGTTTAAACTATAAGGTCGGTGGTTAAAGTCACCAGCTACTCCTCGGAAACCCTACACAGGATCCCTATGGGTTGGAACTGACTGGAAGGCACTTTACAACAACAGCTATAGTAGGCATCACTGTCCACATGGTGGCAGTATGTGGCATGTAAGAAGGACGACTTACAGTTCCAGAAGGGGGCCGTCTGCCAGTGGTTGTTGTCATGAGTGAAGCAGGTGAGTCCGGGAAGACTGCACTCATCCCCCTTCCGCTGGCGTTTCTTCTCCTTCCTCTCCTTCTTCCTTCTACGGTTCTCCTTGAAAAGCTGAAGTTTACTGTCTACTTCTTGAGCAGCCTCCCTATTCCAACAGAGGAGATTTTTTATTAACGATCAAGAAGTACTTTCTCACTTAAAAATGTGATTGCTACTATAAACCTCCAACACATATTTGCATACATGATATTGTTGTTAAGTGCCATTGAGTCGGTTCTGGCGTATAGTGACCCTGTATCGGGTTTCCAAGGTGGCTGGTGGGTTTGAACTGCCGACCTTGTGGGTAAAACAAACCTTACAATCCAGTGCATTATCCTGCAGAGCCACACCAGGATTCCATACACAAAGATTGTTGTTAAGTACCATCGAGTCATTTCCAATTGATTGCGACCCCGTAAATAGTATAGTGTCTGAGGAGTGGCTGGTGAGTTTGAACCACCAACCTTGTGGTTCAAGCAACCTTGCAGTCCAGTGCTTATCCTACAGCCCCACACCAGGACTCCATACATCATGATAGATGATCTTTATTTTTACAAAGGGCTCTAAAACCTAGGAGTCCTGGTGTGGCACTGTGGGTTAACACCCTGGACAGCACAGTCAGTTTGAACCACAAGGTTGGCAGTTCAAGCTCATCAGCCACTCTTTGGAAACCCTATACAGGGTTGCTATGGGTCAGAACCAACTCCACAGTACTTAACAACAACAGGATCAATATTTTCTCCCTTCCTTACATTTAACCACTGATGGAAATAAAAGTCCAGGTAACAATACCCCTCAAGCCTGTCACTTAACTTTGTAGTAGCTTGGTACCTATCAGCTGTAAAAACAATTGGTTGGATTAGATGACTTGGAATACATGATCTCTAAAATTCTTTAAAAAATTCTACAAAACAGGCCTAACATGTCTTTCTTTTTAAATCTTAGTTTCCACAAAGAGACTCAAACTGTGTTGAGGCTCAAATACAAAAATTTCCTTTCTATTCAAATTTTACTGTATTTTAAACATGTATATTTCTTGTCATTTTCAGAGTTAACATGATTATAGACTGTTTCATACAACACACTGATCTAATCTAGCATCCACAACTCCCAGTCATTCTTGCACAGAAGGCAGTGCATTGAATACAACATAGTTTGTGTGTTGTTGCCTCTAACGCATGACAACCCCATGCATTATAGGAGCTGGTGGTTCTGATCTATAGAGTTTTCACTGGCTGATTTTCAGAAGTAGATTGTCAGGCTTTTCTTCCTAGTCTTAGTCTGGAAGTTCCACTGAATCCTATTGAGCACCACAGTAATACATGAGCCTCCACTGACAGAAGGGTGATGGCTATACTTGAGGGTCATTTCCTAAATGTGGTAGAGAGTGCTCTCAGAGTCTGAGTAAAGCTCCAGGTAGCTCTGGCTCCAAAGCCTTATTACAAAAGGATAGATCACAGTCCCTTGGTAGACTGTGGGCTTTATTTTCACTGTCTTGAGTTAACTGCCCTCGGAGGTGACTCTACTTCTGAAGCAGCACCAGTTAGAAGCCAGGAGTCCCTCCAGCCTTTCTGGAGTGCATGGACAGTCCTCTACTCTCAGCATCTGTGGACATCAGTGTTACTTACTTGAATGGATGAAGATGGCTCTTCAATTTCTCTTGTTTTTTTACCCCTTTCTCTTTATTGTAATAGCTGCAGGCAAAGGATTAAAAAATGAGTTTTCACAACCTTTCATTTGACCAAACCATTCATTTTATACAAAAGTAGCCAAATTGAAGGAAAATAGTTGCTTTGTTGTAACTATTTTAGATTAATGGAACGCTTTCCTTTTTAGGTTCTGCACTGGTTTATGGCATATTCAATTTGATCTAAATGGCTTAGATTGTTAAAATATAAAATAATGTCAATCAATTATTCATCTTTTGATTGGTTTAAAAAAAAAAAAAAGTTGTAATGACTTTCAAACACCAGTTCTCTTTGAGTTGATTCCAATTCCTGGCAGCCCCATGTGTACCAGAGTAGAACTGTGCTCCATAAGAGGCTCAGTAGTGCCCCCCCAGGCCTTTCGTGGACACTTTTGGGTGGACCCTCCCCTCCAATCTTTTGGTTGGCAGTGAGAGCATTAGCAGCATCATGAAGGGTTTCTGTCATCACTTTGCTGTTGTTATTAAGTGGCATAGAGTTGGTTCCAACTCATAGCGACCCTGTAACAGGGTTTCCAAGGAGCAGCCAGTGAGTTTGAACCACCAACCTTGTGCCTCAAAGCGACCTTGCGGTCCAGTGCTTTATCCCACAGTACCACACTTGTACAAACGGTAATGTGCTTGGGAAGGAATCAGTAGGACAGGTAAATGCTTACCTCTGTTTACTACAGCCACATTCCTCAGGCTTTCTTCTTTTGAGGTGTCCTCTCACTTCTCTTAAATTCTTAATTTTATCTTGCAGAGCTTCAATCTGGACAATAGGCATTTGAAAAATGGCATTTTCAGATCACGATGTCCTATACCAAGTGTTTTGTCCCCACCTTATTTTCTGTGTTTTCTATGAGGGGCATCAAAAAGTGTGTAGGAAATCCCATTCTCTTTCAATTCCATTTTTCTCCACATACTTTTGGAAGCCTCCTCATAATGGTAACTATCCATTTGAGATGGTAATTAATTTGGAAACAAACTGGGCATAGACTATGTCTGTCTCTAGATTTCCTCCAATGTTATAAGTAAACCTGAACCATCCCATGTGTTATAAATAAACATGAGCCAATGTCTCTTTTGTAATTGAATCACTTTAACACATGGATTTCAAAAGGTCATTGACTCAGTCTCTGTTGTCTTCTCACACTATTTTATTGTCAATCAGACCTATTGCTAAATCATTGGAAAACGAGAAACACCTCAATTGGTTGCTAGTTTTCATATAGTTAGCGAAAAAACTCAAATTCGGCTTTCCAGCTCTGCAGTGTGTGCCTCCAAATGGGCACAGCTGGTCTGGAGGGCCGAGTTTGAGTTAGGAATTTAGCTTATGTTCTGGATTAAATTGTATTCCCCAAAAGAGGTTTAGGAATACTAACCTCTAAGGCTGTGGCTGCAACCCTGCTGGAAATAGACTTTTCTTGGTATATTCATTAGGTCATACCTGAGTCGTGTAGATTCTAAATCACTTCTGAGTAATAAAAAGGGTGGATAAGACACAGGGACCCATATGTATGTAAGGAGACAGATGTCATGTGAAAGTTATCTACAAGTAAACTAAGGAACCCTAGAGCTACTGACAAGACAAGGAAAAATAGATATGGCTGAGACCTTGATCGGGAATTTTAGCCTCAAAATCTGTGAGTAAATACATGTCTGTTCTCGAAAGCCACCCCCACGTGGTCTGTGTGTTATAGCAGGACTATGTATCGAACACATATAACAAGCAAATCGCCATGACTCACCTCTTTATCTATGTAGGCCTTATGGTCCTTCCAGGCTCGGGCTGATTGGTACAGTTCTCTCTCACAATGGATTGTATCATTTGGAAGAATAAAGCATCTATAAATGCACACACACACAAACCAATGAAAAACAGTAAAGAAATGGAACATGTGAACATCAGTCTCCACAACTGAGACCAGAAGAACTGGAAGGTGTCTGACTACCACTACCAACTGCTCTGAAAGGGATATTAGAT